AGTGACAAAATTTCACTAAATATTCATTACATTCCGGTGAAGTTATGAAAAGTTTAGGATTACTTGTAAAACAAAAAGAGAATTTGATTTCAATATAACAGTAATATTCTAAATATAGGAATTGACTACAATTGTCAGAAATATAAGAATCCAATGCATATGTAATATTCATACGAGACATACCTCTCATCATCTGTTGAATAAATATCATTAAACACTTGATGCGATTCATTATCCATTGCACTGAATATAAATGTGGATCTGATGTCACGAAACACCTAAATTTCTCACCGATTATGTATTCAATTAATATTATAATCCATATTAGTTGACATGGTGTGAGAGTGAAACATGAATTTTCGCACTTTTTTGTTAGTTTTTTGTTTCATTGATTTCAGACAACAACACATACGAACAGGTAATAAACGATGGGATAAGTGGTTAGGGATTGGTTGAGGAGCTCTTAGAAAATCCAAACCAGAATAATATATATTTGTAGATAATTTCTATACTTCGATAGAATAGATAACTACTATTTGAACAGTTAATATACAAGTGTCTGTGAATGCTGTCCCTGACGGTGTGTGCTTTTATAAGTTTCGCAAAAATATATTAATGTTTTCTAATTAATTATAGATACTAATCGTAAGGAATGTGTCGCGACTTTAAATTATCGTTAAATAAGTCTCTCGTAAGGATATACTCGCATAAGTCTAATGCATAGTCAGTGGTAATTAAAATAGCAATACATTTGTCACAAGTTGTTACAAGTTTGTAAATATAGGTCTAAATTTGGTAATAATTTCGCCAAAACTTATCAACTTTTATCTGTTATGTAAAGTGCATACACTTTATCAGAGGATGTATTAAACACATTGATTAGTAAAATGTTATTTTATTGCAAAAATATATACTTTATATCATTCGATAAATAAGTGAAAGTAAAGAAAATAGATTTAAAAATGCATTAAATTTGTGTCAATAAGTGTCGGGTCTTTGTGGGAGACATAGATTATAGAAGGAATTCTTGTCCCAAAAGGTGGAGGCCTTCCATCCACACCAACCCTGAAATCAATGCAATTATTAGTGTTATTCAGTGTTATCTCACAATTGAATTCAAAGTATTTTTTGAATTAAAAATCGCAAACAAATCAAAACTTACTTTCTTTTGAATGGTATTCAAGTCTTCGCCGCCCGTGTAGTGCGGATCCAGTATTAAGAACTTTATATCTCCCGTGTCTTCGCTAAAGTCGATGCCAATGATAGTATGGGCTAAAACGCCGCCCCCTATCATAATAGGCGTCCCATTTGTGGTGAAATGATGGGCCAATTCGCGGCCTTTGTTGGCCAACTCGGCGCCGGAGTTAACAAACATAATCTTTGATGTGATTTCATACAAATGGCTCAAAACATAACTGACTTCTTGAGAGCCGATCCACTGTCGAGAGCCGACAAACGAGGGCTGCTTATCGCCGACGTCTACCAGCGCCTGTTGGATGTCTGTATGACTGGGAACTGGTTTATCGATATACGACTGGTGCCTAAACCACGACACTATCGTCTGCAGCGACCTGTAAGCACATCCCCAGCCGTTGTCATCCATCCTGTCCTGCATATAGTGATGGTATGTGTAGTCGCCGTAAACACAATACGTTTGGCCGCCTTTAAGACCCGACTCTTTGAGTCCGATGTGAACTGAAGTCAAATAATCTGTTTTCGGCTTTTCGTTGTCTAACAGAAAGCGATTGGATTTCCGGAAAACTGGTCTATCATTTCGAATCAAATATCTTAAATGATATTCTTTGCGACGACTCACGAGTTGTTCGTCACTCAAACTCTTCGGATAAACAATTGACACAAAATGCGAGACATTTTTGGGCCAAAAGTTATACGTTTGCAGAGAAGGCAGACGTTTGTCTGATTTCACACATTCTGTCCATTGATTGCCATATGATGTCAACTGTTGTTTCATTTGATTGGAAAATAATTTAATTAAATATGAAATGGAATTCATTTCTTGGATTCGAGACAATGAGTCGATCCTTATATTCAGTTTCACTTCTTTTAGGTCTTCAGACAATTCTATGTCTTCGGACGTGTCATCACTTTTAGTACTATTACTGCCATTAAAAGCCGTGAACTCGAGAGGACTCTTGTCGTTGGCCTTCTTTTTCCTCATTTTTTCGATCATTTTCTTCTTCATATTCTGCGGCACTTCTATGCCATCAAACAGATCCGGATCTTCTTCCAGATATCCATATAGATCTGTTAATGTCATCGAATTGAATGACTTATCCGTCGCCGAGATATTAGTCTTAAAACACGACTGAATTAACTCCAAGTCATATGAATTAATGTCTTCTTTCGCTTTATTCAACTCTTCCGTCCAATTGTCCACAAAAGTGTCAATCGATGTCTTAAATGTGAGACAAATATTTGCTTTAAGTCTAACGATAATTGTCTGATCGATGGCCTCATTGTCATCGACGACTTCATGACTGCATTCACACAACTCTTTGGATTTGATTTCAAAGAATCGGGTCTTCAGCTCCTTTTGGTCGCAAATTGTGGTCAAAACGACAAGTTTTCCGCTTTTCTTGCTTTTGCTGTACTTCTGACACAAATCTTTGAGCACTTCTTCGGATGGAGAGGGAGTGAGACAATAGACACCCATTAGTGTAGTGCCGGACGGGATGTCCTTCTCGTTGTCCACACATCCCATACAATAACTCACGTTATTGTCGGCCAAAGACGTGAACCCGAAGACAACTCCACTCTTCACCTCTTCGGCCAATTGCGAGGAAATGTCCGAAAAATGTAGAAAACGCTAAAAATATGTCAAAATAGTGATCACTAATTGGTTTATCAATGAGTGGTTAGAAATACAGACCTCACGAAGACTTTCGACAATTTTGAATACTTTTGCCGACATTTTGGCGCTAATTATGAATACTTTTTGGTGTGAAATAGATGTGAATTAACACTAATTGTGAGACAAATGAGTGACAAATCACTGGATGAGTGAAAACGTGTCAAAACAAAGTCACGTGTTTGCAGAGTGACGTCTCTCTCACTGCAGACAACACTTTGACGTCATTTGAGTGCAAAAAACAAAAGTTTTTAAAAAGTTTTGTAAATTTCATGAATTTGTGAGATTAAGACAGTATAACAGGTTTTAATGGCAAGAATACCCGGAACATACACTAAGAGATCAGATCCCGAAGAATGGCACACAACTGGCCATCAGATCCTATGCGATTGGAGTGATTTATATACCAAACTAATGATGTATTTATTTAACTTTAAATGATTGAAGTTTTAATTGATTTAATTGAGTATTTATTGTGAATAATGAATGGTTTGAATGAATGATAAGACATATTGGAGAGAATGGGGAGGAGGAGGAGGACTGGTGTTGGCTGTGGTGTCATGAGTGGCGCCATTGGTGTATGAATGCGATGGTTGTGATGGTGGTTGGTGTGTCATATTGCACCAGGGAACTGCACGCTCCCTATAACAGATACAATTAATGCATATATAAGTTAGTAATGAATAGTTTGGTACTATTTTCATAAAGTGTGGTTCATATGAAACTTGTGATCCACTCACAGACACTCCTTTTCCGAGGGTTTTGGCAGTGGTTTTGAGGCATTTTTTCTGACAAACTCGGCAAAGGCTGTGAAGATTTTGTGAACACCCGACGCATCCAATTGTCTAAAGGTATGGCATCAATGAAATTAATGTAATTATTGTGTCAATAGTAATGACAACACTTATGGGGATTATAATATGGATACAAACTCTGGTTTATCTAATCCGAGTGCAAACAACTCATTCTTGAGGCGATGTAATGGGAGTAGAGATTGTTGAGAGGCATTAGGTTTGTCTTGGGATGACATGATTGACAGCAATGGATGTGATGATAATGTGGACACCAGTGAGTGAATGGCACACAATAACAGTGAGTGAGGGCTGTATGCTATACAGTGTATGGGTTGCATTGGGTTTATGGGTCAGCACTGGTCAACACATACTGGACGTTACGGTGACCTTAACTGCAAAATGATACTGGTAGTATAACTACATGATGTAGTCTACATCATAACTTTGTCTGTATTCATATTCAACTTATTCAACTTAAACTTGTTAAATTAGTCTATTTTATAACTATTATAAATATAACACCAATACTCAAAATTAAATAATATATCACTAAAAGTGTCATAAAATTAAAAATAATTTTAATACTGTAGTAGCAGGTATATTTTATGATTTTATATCATATTATCAAGTGTTTTATTAAATAATTCATTATCATTTGATACAATAATTTGAGTGATACATCAACTCATAAAACTATTACTCTATAGAAATATTAAGTTAAAAATATTAATATACTAAATAACTCTAATTTTTTAAATATTTTAAAATTTACTTTCAATAAGGACGTTATTTAGATGACCATGGATTATTTACGTGACATTAAGCATGAAAGCCAAAAAATATATAAATTGAATGAAATGAATGTCACAATTCATACTTAATGTGCTTGTTCATTCAATAGAAATATTAAAATCAAAATAAAATGAATGAATGAAAGAATAGTGAGTTTAAAAAAATTTTATTCTCAATAAATAGTTTCATTTAAAATACGGTTTATTTGGACACAAAAGGAGAAATCGTATGAATATTACAAATAATGTCTATCAATGAGAACTTGATAACAAAAAAAATTGATTTCCATGTATTTCTCAGTGGAAATACACTCGTTTTGTCGCTGATATAAGAAATGGTAAATACATAATAGAAAGCTATAAAAGTGTGTTTGAGTTCACAGTTTTGAGACAAAATGAGTCCAAAGGTTTCCTGTCGAGAGTCGATCCAAAGGTCTTTATGTTTAAAGGGAAGCCACAAATCGGATCCTAACTATTAATTAGATTTCAAATACGTTTACAAATACTGTTACTTCAATATTAACGCTATTTTGACGGACAGATTGAAGTATTAGTGATTGGATTGCGATTACAAACCAATTTCATGCGCTTTCTCTGCCATTAGTCACACATATTCTTGTGTTATATTCTGTATATATATTCTGTATATATATATTGTATATATAGTCGTTGTTTTGCTATAAATGAGTACTCATTGCGAGTAATCAACGGCTGGTGTGCTGTCAGCGATTCATCTGAAGATGGTTTTCACGATATCCACGTACGTCTGTCCCGGTTTCACAACACACTCGTAGTCGATGTGATGGAGTGGTGTTCCCCACGTCAGGTGCTGTGTGTCCTCCTTGTTGTAGAACTTCACCTGCAATGGGATGACACACGTGAGGCCGCCCTGGAATTGCAGCATCAGTTGCACCTATAGTCACATCCGACCGATCAATGCATAACACATTAGTATACAGAATATTCTTGAGGTCTAAATGAGCGCATACTTTGGTTCTGTCCTTCTTCTTGTTGGCGTCCACTTTAGTTGAGTCCCAACCGAAAGAGTAGGTTGAGCTGCCATTCTCTTGAGACTGGTCGGTCACCGATACACCCGTCCCCTGCACTGACACACTTCTGTAACACATATGTAGCGTTTTCGGGACGATTTGTTTGTTGACATAACATGTGTTGGTTTTGTTAAACAAATTGTTTGTTTTGTTGAAATAGACATCAATTTTGTTGAGCGAATGGTTGAGAGAAAAGTGATGTTTAGTGTTAGAATAATGTTTGCGATGAGAGTAATAATAATAATAATGATGTGGACATTGAATACAGAATTGGATACAGAATTGGATACAGAATTGGATACTTTGGGTCTCGACTTACTGTAATGGCAGTGAAGGTCTCACATTCACTATGTATTCATAATTGGTTTCGACCAGAAATTTCAGTGTATATTCTGAATCGAAACGCTGGCCATCCCTCTATTGGACAGACAGATAGAGAGCACATGTATTGTTAGGATTATATTCTGTTGTGTTTGTATTATTTATGTTGTTTTTTATTTGAGCGTACAATAGATGAAAACAAAAATATTATTTAAACGGATAAAGAGATTGACTGAAAGACTGAATGAGAATAACAGAAGCGAATGAAAAGCGAGACAAATGAACCGAATTGTTATAATAGCGTAAAATCAATAGTATTTCAAAAAATATATAAATACTGAATAATATATAGAATAAGAGTATAAAGAGACATACATTTCAAGAATCACTTATATTAATACTCTGGTAGTCTTATGCATGCACTATATTCTCAATATAATAATCATTAGAATTAATATTATATAATAATATTGAATATGATAATAGAAAAATACGCTTATAATAGAAATTCATGCGCTTATGTAGCTCAAGTTTGCGATGACAATTGAAATAATACCTTATAGTAGATCTCATTATCGTCTTTATTTCTGATTTGTAAGTCAATCTTATACGAGTTGCGGTCCTCCACCATCTTTTCACACACTTCTCCATTCACTGCATACCAGTGCCACACATTCTAACGGCTATATATACATCGGAACTGTAGTTCTGTATCGTATATATCCGTACATTGGGTTTGGATGCTCTCTAATGCTCCAAACGCTACCAAATAATGTGTATATTTGTGCTACAAATGCTCTCTCGCTCTCACTATTCCTCATGTAAACCATATTCTCTCCACTCTATGGGTACGGCATATAACACACACACAGCTATCACAGCACTGGTAGCCCTCTGTACAGCATTTTGTTGGCTCGAAAGCGAGGGGTTATATAATTGTATTATTGATCGCAATGTACTGACAGCCAAGTTCTCTGTGTGTCTATTGATTGCATTCAAGAGTCACAAAAAGCGATACATTAAATGCAATGTTATATTCATTTTATGTTTCAATTGTCTACACTATGCCTACAAAACCAATGCAATAAATCCATTCAAACGACGCCCACAATTAGCGTTAGTTTTCTCTTTTTATTGGCTTTTTTGTTAATTAAGCAAATTTTTGTCATTTAATTTAATCAATTATAAATAGTTAATATAACAACATAATCAACAAATTTGTTTCGTTTTTATAAATAAATTAATATTACAATCAGTAGAAAATACATAATAATATAATACTGTATAGAAAGGCTTTACAATGAATGAAAAACAGAGAAAAATTAAGTATAAATTATATATAAATTACTCAAAAAACATGATTTAATTCTACAGCGCATCTCAAATCTCTCTCCAAAATATATAAAAACCCATTATTTTTCCTATACTTTCCTCATCCACTTTATACACTTACAGAATATTCTGTATATTATATAGTAATCTCTTTCTCTTTTATTATAATATTCTTTTCCCTTTTTAGTCTCATTCTTGTGAACATTTTTGTCTGTTATAATCATAGGATACTCTTTCACAATAAATATTGATATTAAATAACAATAGAAAAAGCTGTAGAATAACCGTATTATCAATGATAATATCCATGTATTTATATAACCTATTTGTTTTTTATATTTAATTAATCGATAGACAAAAAAGGATGGCAAAACAAGATTTTTCAAACTAATAGTAAAAATTAATAATAATATTGTCCTAAGTTTTAGTTTTGACAATCGTTTTGGACAAATGACTAGATATATACTTTGTATACTATATTTGTTTGCTTTCTTCCTATAACCTCCCTCTCCACCTGTGCCTTGTATTTACAATTCATTCAATAATTATATTTCATAATAATTATACACATTTTTGAAATATATTCATGAAATTCGTTATATAAATTATAGACAAGAATAAAGTGAAAAATATATCACAAATGAGATGATTATATAAAGAGAAACTAATAGTTTGAGTTTTAAAAAAGTCCATATGTTTAGTTACAATAATAAAGTCATTGACAGTAATAAATAAAAGTTGTTAAAAAAGTGAGCGTAAAGTCTGTTTTCGATACACAGAAGTAAGCCTTTTTAGAAAAGATTTGCTTTTAATTGTAATTCGCATTGAATGCGGGAATGAATGCAAATTATTGTTTAGAAATTATTCACACAATCCGTAATTTTAAAAAACAATTTGTAAAAAAACAAGTAAAAATTGCCACCGATTTAATTGATGCGTGTTTTTGAGATCAAAAGTATTAAAAACTAAATCTAAATGACTTTCGTAGCACCAGAAACTCAAAAGTTAAGTAAACAAATGGTTGAGTAATGTTTTGATGAAAATGAACAAATTATTACAAAAAATATAAAAAGAGTTAATAATAATAATTGAGTGAAAAAGTTGTTTTCATCATACATTCAATAGACTTGAATGTGTACTGAAATGAGCAATTAATTTATATAAGTTATTAAGTACTTGTATATAAATTATATATTACGGTTCAGTTTTGATTGTAACTTTGATGCCTATAATATCCACAATAGCGCCAAAAGTTTAATCGAAACGTTAGTCTAATATATGAATTTATATAACTTATTATTTTATCTGTAATTTAAGTCAAAGCTCCCGAAATATATTGCAAATATCGAAATGACTTTCAAAAAGTTATTTTTTCAATTAAACTAATTTTAAACCAAAATAATTTAAGAGAGAACTAAGAATTTAAAGATTTGGATATTTTTTACAGACAATTGGCACAAAGAAACAGAATATAAGTTATATCATATAATACTCATTGGAAATACATTATAAGCTATATATACCAATATAGAAATTCTTGCCTCACTTATGCTCTCTATTATACCAATAATACATCAATTAGTTTAATATTCATTTAGATTTGGATTGAATATATGGATAAAAAGCTTTTGCGTTAAGAATTCAATTATAGTACAGACACTAATCGTTAGACGTGTTCCGCTTCAGTCATTATGATCTGTGGCGGAGGCTTATAGAGTATACTCAACGGTCGCGATCTCCTCATGTTTTGTTGCTGTTGTTGTTGGTATAAGTGGTGTTGGATCTGCTGGTGCTGTTGCTGTCGCGTCTGATTTTGGTACAGAGATTCGGTGACGGGTTGTCCCGGACGAGGTGGTTGAGCGGTCTTCCGGGGTTGCGGTACGGGAGGGATCATGTGATGCGTTGCCATCTGTTGCGGTCGAAGCGCTAAATCAAATTCAACTGACTTTCGGCGACCAATTCCCCGCTCGTTGGCCAACACCGATGTGTAGTCGCGGATCAGTTGCGCGATTTGTAGCGCCTGTTATGAGAAGTAGTTTTATGTTAAGAATATTCTGGGAAAAAATGATTGCAATTATGAGAGCATACCTGATGCGTTAGGAATATGTATTTCATAGTCTTAGTGCCAGTGCTGGCCAACGCCACTATCATTAAGCTATTGATGGTTGGGTTATAATCGACGATATTTCGGTAATCACATGAAGACAACACATTCTGCACACGAATTACATTGAATTACAATAAATTCAAATATTTATAAAATGTTAATAATTTACTCGTGTTTTAAGTTCAAGCAAATGGAGTCCCATCTGATCGATAGCCAGCCACAGGTTCTTAGGCCACGAAGACGTGTAGGTTTGCATAACTTCATAGATGGTGGCCCTGTGTAGTGGCCACGACTGGATCAGATTGAAGAACGACTGCTTGGCCTCATCCGCTTGCATACTATGGAGGGTCTGGTGCTGAGTAACCACTGCTTCGGGAACTATTCTGTTGAGAAGACGTGGCGGAAGACATTGACCGATGACCGCCCGGTAATCGACGACTCCGTTGTCATAATCACCCAAATCTATCTGCACTTTGAGGGCGCATAACATGACGGCCTCCTGTTCTGTGATCGGAAACCTATCGAAGCGAATATTGTTCACCATTTGGTGGTAAAGGAGCTCTTTCTCCACCGGATCTGACATATCGACGAATGCGTCCAAAAGGATGTGTTTCTGTAGTTCAATACAAATTAGACCCAAAGTAATGATAAAACATAAGATTAAGTCAAACAACGATTTGACACATACTTTGAATATGAAGAAGTGTTGCCTTTCGTGCGGTTTTTTACTAAGAGTGCCGGTCTTTGCCTGCTCTTCGTGCCACTTCTCCCAGTAGGCGATGGCGTCGCCCACCTTCTCCTCGGGCTGTAGTGCTTGTTCGTTGTTGAGGCCCAGGATCTGGTAGAGTGCATACCCGGGTGCGTTTTGGCGCAAATCGATTTTCAGTTGAATTTGTTCAATCACTTCCGATATGACGGCACACGCGTCGAACTCCACGGCCTGGAACTGTCCGTCCAAGAAGTGTATGCGCGCGTAAATACGCCGACAGTTAATGGTGGACATGATCTCAGCCCTGGACGGCGCCAACTTTCGGCCCCGGGTCTCGAGAGTGCCCTGAAGGTTGCGGAGCGTAAAGTGCGAGTACTGGCCCTCTTGGGTGACCTCATCCAACGCACACCGGCGTAGGTGTGAGTGAAGGTACGCCAGAATGCGGCGATCGCTGGGATATGTGATACTGCAGGCCAGCGCCAGCAGCTGCCAGTGCCGGACGTTGACCCGGCTGTTGGGGTCGGGATGGTCTGTCGTCTGTTTGATTAACTGCAGGAAGAATTCGTTGCGCAAAATGTCGGCGTCTTTGCGCAGACACTTGTCGAGTATGCTCTGGGCTAACCGTATTTGATCCCTTTCCGTCTGTCGCGGCCACTCCTTCTCGTCGAGCGCGCTCTCCTCCGTCTCCGGTATGTTGAGCCCGGAATAGGCGAGTATGGCGTTGAAGTTGTTGACAGCCATGGCCTCCAACTCGGCGTCGGAGATGACGAGAATGGAGTGATCGGTCGGACACTTAGTGTAGGCCCAGAAGGTGTGCGGGAAGTGCCGGAAGAAGGCTTCGTCGAACTCGGAGCCGAACTCCTGCTTTAGTTTATCCAAACGGACTCTATTGAGACGCCGCAGTGTATTGCGAAAGAGGCCCCGACTCTCGTCGGGCGGCCGACGCATGATATTGCTGTCGATGAGCACCCGGCGACAGTTGACGACGTCGTGATGTAACTTCATTCTGTCCTCTAATGTCATCTTCAGGAGTCGCCGCCGATTGGGTTCGCCATTAGCCCCGTTCAGGCCGTTTAACACGTTGGTCTGTCTCATCCAATTTGAATGGTTGGGTGAATAACTAGCCACTAGTGCCGCGATCTCCTCCTTCTGGTTCGTCTCAAACGTGAAGCTCTTGTGATTATCGGCTAATGTTTTGATGAGTTTTATGGATAAGAGGTTTTCGGTGGGAAATACGGTCAACGACTCGATATCACAGTATCGGAAGGCGTTAAGTATGGACTTATCCGCCGGGTTTGTGATCAGTATTCCCTCGGAGTTCACTCCAAGCACCAGATTGTGGCCGTAGGACAGGTATCCCTTATATGTCACGTGGAATAGAGTTGCACCGTATGTCGGGTATTGCATGACCACAGAGAGATACCACACTTTAGCGATCAAATCAGCCTTTCCTTTGCCGTACATCCTGTGGGCGTCGGCTATTTTGACGGCCCATTCCATCTTCGTATATCCGACAGCTTTTCGGATCCGAAAACAGATGTAATTCTCGACGTCTTCATAGCTGGCGATCCTTCCGTCGGCGTACTCTCCCAGCGATACCTGCGCCTGAAGGCCAGCCAACTGCAGGGCTATCCGCTCACTGGCCGGGAACTCATCCTTTTTGACGACACTGTGCACCGCCTGTGCGTACAGTAGGTTCACCTCCACGGGGTCGTGCGGTATTTCACACGTGTTTTTAAACAGCCTTTTCTTGAACACAAACCTACAGTCGCCGGCGCCTAACGTCAGGCTCTGTTTGGCCGCCGGTTTCGTCGTCCCATAAGTGCTGTTCTTCTGAAACATTTCCCAATTAGTGATGATATCGGCGATAAAGTCGTGTCCTTTGATCACTCGCTCGTACTCGGGGGTCAGCTCGTAGAGCGCCCAACCATCCAAACAGCGCAGACCTATTTTGTTGGACAGACAGGTCATGGCGTCGTTGGCCGTATCGCACGGGTGTATGTCTATGGCTTTGGTGCGTCCGTCCAAGAAGTAGAACCGACAGACGAGACTACTGAGAGTGCGGACAGCGTTGATCTCCAGAGTCGACGGCGGCATACGTCGGATGTGGGCTTTGGGGGACTGGAGGTTATCGATACAGAACTGGGCGTAACACGAAATGGACGCCTCTTTGCGCAAATGCTTTCGCAGATAACTTAAGAAGTATTTGGAGAAGACTTTGCTGGGCTGGAAGGCGGCGGTGGTCAGCCCTAACATCATCCACACCCTTATGGTGTCATCGCGCGATGGATTGCCATTTGACTGGCGGACCAACTGAACGAATATCTCGTCCCGAAGCTCTTCGCGTTCAATGCCGTGTCCGATGACAGTCTGTATGAGTCGTGCCTCCGCCTCGGGTTTAAGGTTTCCGTCGATGTTCAGCCCTAACATNGCTATAATCTGTTGTTTCACTAATTTGTTGTCCGACGGAATGGTTGAGCCGTTGTTGATAGGCGTCGGCGGAGCCGATATCTTACTCTCTGACCATCCGTTCATCTTTTCGGTCACAATATTCTGGTCCGAGTCCTCACTCTGGGGTCCATTACTTCGCTTAATATTATTGATGTTGTTTTGGACGACAAAACTCTGGTTCTCGTCCTCGTCCTGGAATTCAAACGAATAGCTCCTTTCCGTGGGCTGTAGTGGTGTATAGAGTGGCGAACGTTCCGATTCCGTGGCACTGATCATACTGTCCGCCTCCCGGCTCTGTCTGTCGGGAACGGGCGATGGCAGCGGTGATGGCGACACCGTCTCTATCGTGTCCGACAACATGTCGGAGCCGTTGGGCGCCGGCAGCGGACTCGGAGAGGTCTCGATTCTGATGGGCATCTCCGAGATCTGTTGGTTGAGTTCATTCATCTGGGTTTCCGTTCGTTGTATCAATTGGTCGAACTGTTGGCTGATATCTTCGATTACTTCATCTGTTTTTGACTCTTGTATTTCGGTTAAGAAGGAAAACATTTGCTCCAAATCGGCGTAAGACTGGGGCGTATGGTTGGGGTCGGACCCGTCGAGCGCCGTTCGTTGCAGTAATCCGTTTTGTTCAATAAGTTTGGCGATATTTTGCACCTCTTTTTGCGCTAAACTATAGGCACAGGAATCAAGAGTTTGTAAAAAACGATTAGTTTCTGCCAACGAGTGAACTTTAAAATGAGAAATCTCTCCAACACTTTAAAAATTTTATTTATATAAAGAGTTTATTTAAGGAACTTTATCTCTGAAAGTCTATCTAAACACTAAAACACAATACTAGGCAAACATAAAGTGAATTATTATTTTTTTCGTTCAGAATTCATGTGGAATTTAATAAAAACTTAGTGAAGCATTAATATAGCATTGAGTGCAAGGCATTGGAGAGAATATAAAAGTTTTTGGTTAATCCATACCCATATCGTTGCTCCAGAATTGTGCTGTTAGTACAGTAGTAGCATAGGAGGGGTTCGCATGAAATATAAGCCATATATTGATTTTATAATTGATATGATTATAAGTAATATTTCTATTGTATTATTGACATTGGAGAACAAAAAGTAAGTTTATTATATAATATATATGATATTCCGTGCAAAACACTAATGAGTCAGAAGTGTTTGGTTTTACAGATTCTTGTGCACAGATTATTGCACTCTTCACTCGATTCAATCGATATTAGATAAGCGACAAAATACTACACAATACCATTCCTGTGGCCACACATTGCCTACTTTTATTGCCAGCTATTAAATGTATCCATAAGTTTAAAATTTTCCACTAAAACAAAAAACGCCTTTTGCTTTAGATTAGGAGAATTCAATACTTTTTTAGTTAACACTGAATGAGTATAACGTTCACCACTTCTGTCAATGCATTAGTGTTCAGGAAATGTAGAAAACAATTTCGAAACCCATTTATAAATCGACTAAATTTTAAGTGCATAACAAATAACAGAATATTCTTTGTTTTTATATCAAACAGAGATAGAAATGTTTGATAACGTATGCCATGCATAAAATATTCAACAAAAAAGCAAAAACCAAAATAACAGTAAAATTTAACAAAATTTCTAGGAAATGGATGAATACATACAGAAGCGATTCGTTGACTTCAACGCCGTTTGCATTCTGTTGGTCACCAGTGAGCGGATCACTATTGTGTTGCATCTGAGCCAACCTCCTCTGCTCGTCGAGCTGTCGGCGCTCACTCTCCTCCTGCTCTTTGCGTCTCATCTCCTCCTCCACTCGTCTCATCTGTTTCATGGCTGCGGCCACTTCTCTGGCGAACATTCCCCTCACGAACGCCTGCACAGTAATGGCCGCCCGCTTCATGCGAACATACCGGAGCCGCTCCCGGTGTCCCTTAAAGTGCAGCTGAATGATCGTCACACAGCTCTTGAGCTTCAAGTAGGCCTGTCTCTGGAAATAGCCTTTCATTCGTGTCTGTATGACAACAGCCATCCTATGGAACAGTAGCTTTCGGTGCTCTTCGAGCGGCTCGTGTACTGTTGAGCGCAGAAATACTTTGTTTTTTCCGATTTGCCACTCGGTCTTTGCCATCTTCAGGGTCATCAGTATCTTCGCCGCCGCGTCCGACTGGAGGCCTGTTATGCGCGCCGTCTTCATTACTAAACACCGGTATCTCAACACAAATTGACTGATAGGAAAATGAATGGGAAAGCCCTCCCGTCGGATGCGAATGATGTCCAGCATTCCCAGGTATTGGAGTTGTGTCTGGACTTGTTGTTCATCGTAAAAGTTGGGCGCCTTTACCATATTTGGTTTGATGCACCGCACGTACCACGGATTGGTTGAGTGCAACAGATCTACCAGTGCTGTCAACTGGAATCTGAATGCATCGCCGACTGTTGGCCGACCCTTACTTGTTTTGGTTGACCCCTCGGGCCTATTGACTGACGCGTATGTCGTATTCGCCACACGACTGGCTGTTACGCTCAACAGATCCTATGAATTGATGCAAACATTTAGTTAAACAGTTTTAAGATTAGGTAATCCATGCATTAATCAATTAAAAGTTTATTCATTTACTTCAGCTGTCATTTGGTAACTCCAATACCACTGAGGAATGAATGCAAAGCAAAATTGATTAGCAAAGCGTGAGATAATTGGCAGTGAATGGCAAACAAGTGATAAGGATGTGAGACAATAAATACCTGAAATTTGACTAAATCTTTGACAAAGATATTGGACGAGTCGTGCATCAGATCAAAGAGCTGGTCCTGTTGTACGTCTTTGTTCTTCTCGAGGAAACCGGTGATATTATAGACCACATCCCCGGCGTAGTGTTTGATCCCAAACTCCATTTCCCAGCGTCTCCTATCCTCACCGCGAATATAGTTGACGTGTGACTCGAACTCTGAGTGAAGTTTATTAACATATGTGGTGTCCGTTCCCTTAGGTATACGACATTCCTCTGTCAACAAACGTATGACACATTTGGGCGGCTTTTCCAGCAGTTCCAGACACGGGGTGTTGTCCGTGAAGTTGATGTGCGAAAAGGAGATGCCTTCCTGTCTATACTATATTCACAAACAAATTTCAAAATTAGTCTCACATATGATGGCATAAAGTATTGAACTATTCTTACGATCTCTTGCTCTAAGGCAAAGACATAGTGATTGAAAAATCGGTGCAGTTTTTCGTTGGCATAATTGATGCACAACTGTTCAAAACTGTTGACATCGAAGTTCTCGAAGCCGAAGATGTCGAGTACACCGAGGAAGCGGTCGCTGTCTTGGCCCGGGTTAGTGCACGTGTTGATGTAACTGACAATCCATGCGAATGTGCGCGAGTAGAGAGCTTTGGCCATTGCGTGTCGGTTCTCCCGGGCCTCGTGTAGTTTAAAGGGTATGTCAGTCACAGTTCCCCTCACATTAATCTGACGCTGAAGTGTGGCCAGAGTTAGCTTAAAAGCGTCGACACCCAGAAGGGTAGCCACCGTCGCGATCACCATCTCATCGTCGGGACTCAATTTACAGCGCTCTCCGTCCAAATGGTCCTCAAACTGAAGGTTTCCTAACCATAAGATAGCGCTCAACACCGAGAAGATGCCGTCACACATCTCCGGAGGAATGTTGAGTACAG